GGTCAGCTAGTAATTTAATAAAATCATGTCAGCTGTATCATGTAGTATAAATGCTACCTAATTCTTAATTCGCAAGCCGCATTAGAGTATTTTATCACTATTGTGTTTTAAACACTTACCTATCGAACTGTTCAATCTATGTCTCAAGTAAGGTCTTTTTGCAGCTTGTGTACAGCAATCCCTGAAAAATTAACTTTTAAAATACCTTTGTTTCAACAGAATTTCAAGACAATTTGAATCTTCATCTTTATGCTTTGATATGCATTTTTAACATTTCACATGTAGGCACTGATCCTGGCAAGGGAAAAAATTCGTTTGTTCATTAAACTTGCCCGTTCTTGCATTGGAAATACGAACTGTTTTCCACAAATCGTATCAAGATTGATTGAAAATGTATATATAAAAAGTGAGCTCTTGTTTAAAATTAGGATGCTTTTGGAAAATGGGTGATGTTTGAAGTCATGTTGCGCGAAACCCTCACAGTTTGATCATCATTAGACGCAAAATATGCTTTCAGCTTGTATTTAAAAAACTGACTAAGCTTTGAGACTCTAGTTTCCGTTGCTAGATGGAGAGATAAACTGCGCACTTTTTCATATAAAACATCATTGTAGAAATGTTTCTCACACACAATATGAAAAATCAAGATTAATGCTAGACTTCAGAACCGCACTTATTCGTTGGTTTGTATTAAGAGAACCCCTTCAGCTACGATAGATCAGTTTTCATTGCGCGATAGAGTCAAATTTCCGACGTTTCTATAACAAATACTGTTCCAGAAATGTTTCTGGTTTTCACTCAAAATTCAAACATTCAAGATTAATGCGAGCAATCAGAACCGCTCTGATTTGTTGGCGCTTAGTCTTCAGAACCGCGCTTATTAGTTGGCTCGCATTAAGAGAACTGGTTGAACCACAAAAGTATAGTTTTCATTGCGAAACAGAGAGTGAAATTGAGCATTTTTTGCAGCACACGTTGTTCTAGAAATGTTTTTAGTTTTTATACAAAATGCGAAAATTTAAGATTAATGGGAGTCTTCAGAATCGCTCTTATTCGTTGGTTCGTAATTAGAGAACCGCATGAGCAGCGAATCTTTAGTTTTCACTACGAGGCAGATGGTAAAACTGCATACTTTTCGATATCAAACATTGTCCTAGAAATGTCTCCGGTTTTCTAGCTAAATGTGAAAATTCAAGATTAGTGCGTGTCTTCAGAACAGCACCACTTACTTATTCGTTGGATCATATTTAGAGATCCAGTTCTGCTAGAAGGAACTCTAGTTTTCATTGCGAAATAGAGAGCTAAATTGCATACTTTTTAGTTACAAACATTATGATAGACCTGTTTTTATGCAAAATGCGAAAATTTGAGATTGAAGTTTAATGCGAGTCTTCAGAACCGCTGTTATTCGTTGGCTCGTATTTATAAAACCGCTTGAGGTACGAAACGCTTGTTTTTATTGCGAGGTAGAGAGTTAAATTGGATATATTTTTCTAGCAAACACAGTTCTAGAAATCTTTCTAGTTTTCACACAAAAACGAGAAAATTCAAGATTAATGCGAGTCTTCAGAATCGCTCGTATTAGTTGGCACATATAACCGGTTGAGCGAAGAAACTCTCGTTTTAATTTCGAGACGGAGAGTGAAATTGTGCACTTTTTTTGCAGCAAACGCTGTTCTAGAAATGTTTTTCGTTTTTTCGCAAAATCACAAAATTCAAGATTAATGCGAATCTTTAAGTATAACATTCGAGTAGTTTCCAGTATAATATACATAATTAATTTAAAAAAATAGTTTCACTAAATGCAGATTCTCTCGGTAATTCCAAAAAACTAAAAATTCCTCACCTGTATATTTCAACTATATTTCCCATTCCTAAAGCCAACATTTTCTTTTGAGAAAAAGCTACGTGTCCGGCTGAACTGATCAACTTGTATTCCTGAACTGGGCCCTCTAACTTTCTCACATCAAATATTTTCACTTCACTGTTGGTGGCTGCTGTTGCCATATACCTGGAAAAAAATGAAAACGCTATTTAGCACCTAACACATATATCTATTAAAAGGATTACTTACATGCCAGATGGATCAACGTGCACTGCAGTAAGAGGCGCCTTATGACATAACATTTTTGCAAGAGGTTCTCTCGAATTAGGACTCCACATTGAGACTACTCCTTTCGCATGTCCTAAGCACAGGCAGGCATTCCATGGATTATGAGTAAGCATACTTAATCTACCTAATTTTGTGTTGACCTGCGACACGATTTGGCCTAGTGAAACATCTAACCAGCTCAAGTAGCCCTCGTCGCTCTAGATTAACAAAAAAAAGATCGTTTACTTTACTGGTATTAATAAAAAACGAGTGAACACTTACGCAACTTGTAAGTAGGAAATGATATGGCAAAAATTCCAGCCTGGTAACTTTATTCAGTCTTTTAACGCAATGAAGTTCAATGCCTTGGTTATCATAGAAATAGACCCAATTCTTTTGCGCCACTGCAAACATGGTTTCCACGTGTAAGAAGCTTACATCGTGAACGCTTTCCATAACATTCATTTCACAATGGAGCCGTTTGGTAACCCAATCAAATGCTGCTACATGCCCTTTCCTGCCTCCTATAACTAGATGACGGCCATTTCTTGTGTATTTTGACCTGAAACAGCAAATTTTAGAACACTCGTATTGTGTATACCTTGAGCTAAAAACCTGTAAGGACCAAATTCAAGCTTCAACTCAAATGTCTTTGCAGCCGCTGTTAGATCTACGTGCTCTCTAATTTCACTTTGTGTAAATTGAGTTGTAGTTTCCCCATCACCCGCTTCCAAATGGCCTTCTTGTTCGGTTAATAATACCTAAAGAACACGGTTACTGCAAACAATTTCATTCCAACATGCAGTTATTTCTCTAGTACCTCGGTTTGAGCTGCTACTTGTGCTGCAAACTTTATTTGCTTTTCTTTCTCCTCGATTTTCTTTTTATGGATTTTGGTGTGTACTTTTTTCAAGTTAACACCATTTCCTTTTGCGTATTTCTCCACCAACTCTTTAGGTAAGTTGTATTTCTTTGAACCTTTGTTGACTCTAAGATTTTGCACCTTTTCCTCCGGCTTGTTGCCGGCTTTTTGGGTTTTATTAACGGATTTTTTAGGCTGCAACCGGTAGAATGTGTATAAAACATAACAAAACGTTATTGAAACAATACAGTATACCGTACGTATTGTTAAGATGATAACTTACCGTTCTGATCCTCGCCATTATTGATTACTATGAGAAATTGGAAAAAACACTAACTAGCATGCAAGACTCGAACGTTGAACATACAAAATTAGTGGTTATGTTCATTGAACATCCCTCTTTAGAATCGAGGAGCAGCTAAACAAAAGACAGTCCGCCGTTGCCGTTTACTACGATTGGTCATTTCTAATCTAGCCCCAAATTTAAACGAGTGGCCCACTTGCACCAAACATTTAAGAAAGACTTAAGGTTATGCTTAGCGTTAAGTTCGAGCCTAACTGCAAAAACGGATTGCACCAACCGATGACACGATCTTAAGTTCGTCTTTGAAAATCTCGAATTTAAGGACTCGTTCTCGAGTACTTAAGCATGACTTAGCCTTCTTCCAACCTTACTTCCAACCTTAGTCGCTAGTTAGTCAAATATACAGCATACGTATATGAATTGTGTAATCATAATGTCCTATTTTCAAAAAATAAGTACCTACGTACATCATGAAAAATTCATGATGTACGTAGGTACGAATTTCAACGTTTCATTAACGCCCTTTCTGACTAATTAGGAAAATGAGAGATGGCGGAGTTTCATTTGGCTGTACCCAATCACCATCAAAAGCAGCAAGTGATTGATTCACGCCATACAAGGCCTTATTATTTACAACGAATAATAATATTTTATCTGCATTGCCCCTGGGAACCGAAGGCACGGCACAACTCCTCCGCCATCAGTTTTATAAAGTTTTTAATTTTGGTTGGAAATGTGCTTCCGGATGTCTTCTTTTAGTTTAGTTATTGTAGAATTTCCTGATTACTGCGGTCGTAGGCAGAATTGTTGTTTAAAAATTAATTATTAATTGTTTTGACAAATAGCATTAAATTGGCCCGACATTTTCTACCATGTTGACTGCTGTTCTTGCGAAGACACAGCATCTGGTTTTTTTATTGTTATTATTTTTATTATTATATTTTTTATTTTCGGTGATCTTAATGAAACGCAACGAGCTCTAAAAGAGTATCTCTTTCCGAAGCACCAAAATTAGGAGACCCATTCTGTTTTGCAGCCATGAGTGAAACAAAATTTTAAAAAGGTCTCGAATTTCGGTTAGAAACAACACAGACATGCAGAACAMAACGAAAAATACAGAGTTGCCGGTTATTGCCTGAAGCTTAGCTAAGAACACTTGAAAAACGGATGGTGCAACTCATTGAAACTTACGTCGGACTTAAATTTCAAGGTATACTTAGGTGAGGACGTGCTTAGAAGAAGTTTGGTGCAAGTGGGCCCACGGAAAATATTGTATATGACACTCCGAGTCATATTTAGGACACTGCAAAGAAATTGGGATTAAGAGATTTTTAAATGTTGAGCGAAAGCTTAATCGAAATCCTCACTTCACTCTTCAAGTCTGATTATTCTAAATTCCTGAAAGAATATGGAACACTAGGCCATATGATAAGGACCAACTTTGAAACTTTAGAAAATAAACTCACATTTTTCCTTCCGTAAAATGGTGAAATCAATAGCACTAGTGAAACAACTAAATTGAGAGTTGTGTTTGACGGGTCAAGTAAGTCTTCCACTGTGTTGTGTCCAATAAAACTACCCGTCTTAACTTCACAACCCGGTTCAAAATAAAAAGCTAAAGTTGCTTAACTACTTTAATAAACAGACAAAATCACTCCAAACAAAGGAACTACTGAACTCTACTTTATTTTACAAAAACAGGGGTGCGTTCTCAACACAAAGCACCCAATCACACTGCCCATTTTTTACGATCCTTAACCTATTGACCCACTAGCGGGAATTTTAAAAGCCAAAAACTATTTACTAGACAGAGGTGGAGGGCTGATCCTGGACAGTGGTGGATCATAGAAGGCTCTAACATCCTCCCACCTGAGTCACGCTAAACTAAACTAAGTTAGTGACTCACATAACACAAGAGCCCTTCCAGCAGCAAAATTCTATAGTAAATATGCCTATAACTAACGTACTGAAATGTGACTAAATACTTAAAATTAAACAACTATAGGCAATACATAAACTAGACTAGAAAGATCTGTTACATAAACTTTTTCGGTACCTTAATAGTACGTCCGCTTCGCGAAATGCGTTTAATAGGCACGGGAGCATCGTCTATAGGTTTCGCGCACTTTACCGCACCTTTGAAAGATTCAACAACGTGTTGGGAATCATTTTCACAATCTTCGGTTCAATGGTCACTGGTATAAGTTTAAAACAATCCGCAGAACTAACAGGTTTATCCACATCACCTTCCAAAGGGTATAATCGCTGACCTGGCCTCAATAAAGAGCCTCTAGCAGTATTTACCCGCACGAGTCGGATCTGTCCATTCTTACCCGGAATCAGTTCGCTCACTCGTCCCAGCGGCCACTGGACGCGTTTGTCCATGTCATTCCCCACAAGTACCACTTCTCCTAAAGAGATTTGTCTGCTAGGCTTCTTGGAACTCCAAGACTTCAACTGACCTAAGTATTCCGATCTAAATCTCAGTCTCAAGTCGTCTCTGAGTTTCTGTTTATAAATAATCCTTTTACACAGTGATTGAGAGTCAACCATATCGCAATCAGGTACTCCAGAACTCTCTAGCTCTCTCAAGAACATCATGGGTGTCAAAGGAATCAGGTCATTTGCATCACTGGAAAGGTAAGTAAGTGGACACAAAGAAGTGTAGTCAGGTCCTCCTATGTTAGGCATGCTCGGCCTAGAACTTTTCGCAAAATCTGCTTTAATAGTCCCACCATCCGTTCCCAGAAACCGCCCCACCAACTAGCAGATGGAGGATTAAAACACCATGAGATTTTGTCAACACTATAAGTCGCGATGATCTTATCCCAATCAAGTCTTTGAAAACAGTTACAAGTACCCACAAAATTGGTACCATTGTCGGAATACACAGTCTCCTTGTCTTCGGACCATTGTCGGAATACACAGTCTTACTTGCATAAAACTAACAGTCGACAAACTAGTACACAACTCTAAATGTACAGCACCGCAGTTATGGACGAAACGTCAGGAAGAAATTCCCATAGACCACGGCTTCAAATCCCGGAAAACATTCCTATATGTGATTCAGTATACTGTCAAATATACAATAAGACAAACTTTTTAAGAGATTTATTTAATGGTTTAAGTTGTTCATTTAAATACTATGAATACAAAATCTGATAATTATTTAAGCTGATCAGAATAAATCATTTGTAAATTATTAATATATAGGGTGATTCAAAATTGGCGTCATTCCTCTGGAGGTGTTCTCTGGCGCTGTTATAGGAGTACAGAAAAAATAGTAAATTAACTTAATTGTTATTAGAAACTGAGAAATTTGCAAAAAACTATATCAGAGATACGGCAGCAATGTTTTTCAAGGTAATCTGCTTAATTAACTTTGCGCAAATACGTGTTACGCCGTAATTATTTAAAACTCCGTTAACCATGGAAAAATAGAGAGTGACAATAAGATAGACAAGGATAAACTGTAAATTATTATTATATAATAATTTTTAATTAGCCTGAGTGTTTCTGTCAGTCAGATGTTGAATGTTTTGTATTTTTATGTTGTTAAGAAAATTTTGTTTTGGTTGTGATGATAAATAAGTTTTGACAGTGTTGTCCAAACGGAAAGGATGTTCTTCTCTTCTTGAATATTAAAAGTGGTTAAAGTTAAAGATAATTATCAGTCCTTTAATCCCAATATATTCAACAGATTATGGGCCCAGGCATATATATGTAGTTGTTCCTGGATGTGTGAGATCAAGATTTAAAAAAAAATGGCCGCATCAGGAAAAAAAGGTAGCCCTGGAAAAGTTGGGCATATCACAATTCTGTGGAAAGGACGATGACTGCTGGAAGTTTAGGATGGAAACTATTCTAGACAGTAATGATGTCAAGAAATGCATAGAAAATGAGGAAATGGATCCAAATGAAGAATTCCAAAGACAGGATAAGAAGTGCAAGGCCATATTAATACAGTGCATTGCCAATTTCCACTTGGAATATGTCACGGACAAGAAAACTGCTTATGGAATGTGGAAGGCTTTGGAAGCTGTGTTTCAGCGCAAAGGAATTGCAAGTCAATGACTTTTGAGGAAAAAGCTATTATCCATGAAACTATCTCAAGGTGACTTGTTGGAAACTTATTTTGTGAAGTTTGAGGAAACCATTCGTGAGTTGAAGTCAGTGGGTGCCAAATTAGAAGAAACGGACATTGTTTGCCATCTTTTGTTGACGTTGCCTAGATATTATGATCCACTTGTTACTGCTTTTGAAACTTTGAAACCAAACAAACTTACATTAGAGTTTGTTAAAGGGAAATTGTTGGATTAGGAAGTCAAGAGATTGAATCAAAATGATAATTATGTGAATGCAAATTCAAGTTCAGCTTTTAATACTCATGGAAAGGAATCAAGATCAGGAAAACCGCATGGAAATTATATGAAGAAAGGGCATGATTGGACTGAAGGAAATGGTCAAAATATGGGTCAGAGACAACACTTTAAATTCAGTTATAACTGTGGGAAGGCTGGACATAAAAGGTCAAATTGCTGGAAAAACAACAATGGGGGTTTTCGACAAGGTCATAATGCGGATAGAGCTGACCAGGACCAAGAAGAGGAGGATGGTTTAGCATTCCTGACCTCTGCATTCATGGTGACCAGTGGAGAAGATGCTCTAGGAACTGTTAAATAATACTTGGATTCTGGAGCGACTGATCACAAGGTTAAAGAAGCAAACTATTTTAAAGAAAGCCGTAAGTTTAACAAACCACTTAAGATTAATATTGCTGAGAATAGAGTCGTAGTTTTTGCAACAGAGATAGGAAATATTGAAGAAATGTTTAAAGGTGAAACTGATTATGTAGATTTAACATTGAAAGATGTTGTTTTTTTGTGCCAGATTTAAAATATAATTTAATGTCAGGACAAAAAATTTAAATATCTGGATTTGATGTATTGTTTAAAGCAGGGAAAGTGTTTATTAATAAAGGAATGCAGAACATAGCCATTGGAAATCGAATTAATGGTTTATATGAATTGACATTCAAGTTCAGGAAGTTTGAAGCAACAAATTGTCAATGTTCTGCATTAATATTGAATAAACAAACTGATTTGATGACTTGGCATAAGCCATTAGGGCATTTAGGATATCAGAAGAGGTTAAAGTTGTCAAATAATATGGTTACAGGTTTTGTTCGTAAAGATGTTAGATGTAACAAAGAACCAATTTGTGAAGTGTGTGTTAAAAGTAAGATAACTCAGTTACCTTTTAATAAGAAAAGTGAACCAAAATCAAG